TCAGGGTGGCTTTCTTCCTCTCCTTCCTCCTCCTTCTTCCCTCCACCTCACTGGGAACTCACCTACCTCTAATCCCTCCAGTAAATGGCTGTAGCCAATTTTTTTATTTAATCAATAGATTTAAACCAAGTAACAAGGTTTCCACAACAAAAGCATGTAAACATAAGAAGACACTTCTCCTCGGTCAAGACCTACTGGTATAGAATTTAGCATTACAAAGACCAAACCTCAATACCCTTACCCAAGGACACATACTTCCTGAGATGCTGGAGTCTATTGTTTATGGAAGCTAACAGGCCAGAAGTTTTCACTTCCTTAAACAAGTTTGTTTGACCCAACAGCAGCAGATGTGCCTGGTTACATGTAAGCAGGAGGTACCTAGATGGGAAATACATCAAAATGTATGCTTCTCCTGATTGGTTGTAGGCGGCAGCTACAGGTAGGAACTATGTCAGGATACATGCTTGCCTCTGATTGGACCTGGTGGGAAATGCATAGCATTATGCGTTTGTCTTTATAAGCCTCCGCAAAATGTGACTGAAAAGCCCAGAATGGTCATGCTGGGCAGTATTTAATTAAAGCTTGCTTCAAATTTGGCTCCAAAAATTGTGGCAGTGGTCTTATTCATGACTGGTGGGTTTAGCAGTAGCTAGCTGCTATGGCCTTCTGCTCACTTCAAAGCTCTGAAGAAACAGTATCCTCTCTGTGCCTGACTTATTCCTTTTGAGCATTCAGAAAGATTTCTTCAAACATTTCAAATGTTTCCTCAGGAACATTTCAAAGATTACTACACTAGGGCTCTGCTCAGATTTCTTCAAACATTTCAAATGTTTCTTCAGGAACATTTCAAAGATTACTACACTAGGGCTCTGCTCAGATTTTGGTTTCGTTACATGACATGGGGCCTAGGTCAACATTTGGGAATCTATATATTTTGACTTTTCTAAGCATTATTGTAATTTGAATTCCTTTAAGTTATTCTATTTTCTGTGTATAAGTGTTTGCCTGCATATATGTCTGTGCATTGTTTGGTGTCCTCATGTAGCAGGAGGTACGTAGGCAGATAGTTACAAGCCACCTGTGGATGTTGGGAACCTAATCTGGGTCCTTTTCAAGAGGAGCAATTGCTTTCACCAGCAGAGACATCTCTATGGCTCACAGTTAATTTTTTTATTACCCCAAAGTTAACTGAAAAGAATCCACAGGGCAGATGCATATTAGGAGAGAAATAATAGATCAATGACAGAACTACTCAACCAAATTCTTCCAAGTATTTGTGCTACTTCCCATGCATTCATTTTAATGGCATACATTCTAAAGTGTGTGATCTTAATCTACTTAAACAAATATAAATCATAAAATCTGTTGTTGATGAGATGCTGAATTTGAGAGACAAATGTACATTCACATTTTTCCATAAGAAATTTAAATTTTCATACAGAGAAATAAGATATTACCAGAAAAACAATTTTAAAGAATCTTATCATTTTTAAGTGTATGTGTGTCTTGCATGTATGTCTATGTATCGCACGCATGGCTGTCCTGAAACCCTCTGTGTAGACCAAGCTGGCCTTGAACTCACAAAGATGTGCCTGCCTCTGCCTCCCAGGTTCTGAGGTTAAATGCGTGTGCCTCTGTGATGCCTAGCTGGAAATCACATTTTCTTGAAGCATTCTGTTAAACTACTACATACCATATTATAGAATACATAACCATTAATAATTTTCTCTGTGTGTGTGGTGGCACTTGCCTTTGATCCTAGCACTCTAAAAGAGTTAAAATCCAGCCTGGTCTACATCCAGAATTGCAAAGGCTACATTGTGAGACAGGCTTTGAGGGGGATGAATTATGCTGATGGAAAGAGGTTCATGAAATAATGTTAACCATGAAATATGTTTTGTACAGATGCACATTTGTATCATTTAGTTGCTTTATAAGTGTTTTATATTCAGTCTTTGTCTTAGTCTTATTTCTATTGGTGTGAAAAGACACCATGACCACAGTATCTTTTATAAAGAGAATCATTTAACTGAGCCTTGCTGACAGTTTAGAGGTTTAGTCTGAACATGGTGGGAAAAATGGTGTCATGTAGGCCAACATGGAGCTGGAGGAGCTGAGAGTTCTGCATCTGAATCAGCAGGCAGCAGAGAGAGAGACACTGGGCCTGGATTAAGCATTTAAACCACAAAGCCTACCTCCAGTGACACACTTCCTCCAACAAGGTAATACCCACTCTAAGACCACACCCCCCAACCCCTTGGAAGTAGTTCCACTTCCTAAGGACCAAACATTCAGATGAATTAGCCTAAGGGGGGCCATTCTTATTCAAATCACTGCAGTCATCAAATAAAACCTATTTCAAGCAGTTATCTTGAAATATATAAATATGCTTTCAAAAATAGAAAGTAGGTAAGTTACTGATTTTTATGTGTACTGATTTGTTTAATTTCACAAAAGCAAAATTTCATACAAATGTTATTCTTTTATATACACTATTCACAAGAAACTCTGTACTCTCAAAAAAATCATCTTTGCTGAGAGTGGGCTAAGTGAATGTCTTTAGTGTAGAAAGTCACAGAACCTTGTCACATTAATGTATACAGTGGGTCTCTAGAGTGAGGAGCCTGCTGTGATTTACCCAAAGTCTACTGTTTCTCTCATGCTCCACCTGTCACACATGTTGCAGGCCTTGTGCACATTTTATTTGCACTTATTTAATAAAATATCTTCACCCACCAATCAACAAATTTTTGAAAGACTTGTAGTCACTCTGTCTCCTGCTTTGTTCAAGAGTGCCTGACACCCAGGACAGATTGCAGGAACTCAACAAACATGCTCTTGGTGAATGAGTTGCCGGAGAGCTTCAGGCCCGTAAAGTTCCTTTAGGCATTATCATTTCAAAGTTATCCAATTGTATAATAACTTCAAAGGAGAAATTATGTTAACACCTCTAGGCCATTAGAGATTTATTTAATGAATTATTGCTGTGCTTCAGTGGAATAAATTACTTCAGGGAACGGAGGACACTTCTCAGAGAGTGCTTCATGACCTGGAAAAAAGGCTTGCGAAATCAACTTTATATACTTTGAAACTGTAACTGGAAATCACTGGTAAAATGACCACTGGTTCATAAAACAGACCAGGAGCCACGCTCTGCAGCGCAGATGGCCATCTTTGGAGCACTTTTGGCCACCCATGGTGGATATTTGCTTATTTTAATAGCCCAAGTATGAAAAACAGATATTCCTTCTGGAAACTGCAAATTGTTGACTCATTCATTCTTTTGGGAGGTAAATGATTTTACATACTACTTTTTTTTTTTTTTTACATAAACACAGTCCTTGTCTAAACAGCTTTTAAAGGTATTTTAAATGCACACTTTATCTGTTTTCTGTAATGATTTACGGTTTTGTGCTACCTAGAAAAAAAACTGTGATAATCTTTGCTAGACATTACATAATGCTTTTGTTTATGTGATAGGAAAGCTACATCTTCTCTCCAAGATGTAAGGACACAGCAGTTTCCTCCATTGGCACTCCAGAAGTGTTAGAAATATCCTGCTGCTTTCATTATTTGCCAGTAATTGAAGTGAAATAACAAACATTGATATAAAATGTAAGGATTTTTCTCCCAGTTACCAAAATGGATAGTATTTTACCAGTTGTCAATCCTTCTCCACCCTGACACATCACTAACAGTGGAGTTTATACCTGAACTTTAAATCTCGACCGTATTTTCACAAGGATCAAACAAAGAATGTTTCCCAAGTTGCACTTGCAGAGGTTAATCTATCTGTGACTTTCAAAGGGGAAAGTGCAGTGCCCTGAGGATCGATCCAAGACCCTCTTCTGCTTTTGTTCTGACTTGTCTGGTTAATAAACCACCAAGAAAGATAATTTTAAACCCAATTTGCTGAAATGAGAATTTACTAACGTCTGGGGGAAAAAAAGAGTACATTTGACAATTTTTGATAAATTGCATATATATTTTTTAAAATAAGATCTCCCCTGATATTTCTGACCGAAAAGGTAAAGGATCCCTATCTACTTGGTAGTCCAAAAGGAGGAGGAAAAATTACAGAAAGCAAGGTGCCCTTACACAGCTCAGGGAACCCTGGGTGCTCCAAGGCCACTGCAGAGTCTGGAGGTAGGCAGCTTTCCGCAGGCATGCTGGTCTCCTGACTCGGTTTAACCTTCCAGTCCGCACAGAGCTCGGGGTAGCAGCGACAGTGAAGGTCAGAGTCCACAGACTAACCCCTGCAGCCCACGGCTGCAAAGGGCCTCCAGTCCCAGGGAGTTTTAAAATGCGGTTCGTGGAAGGGCATTTCTGATCATTTTCTTTCAAGGACATGATCCAGCCCAAAGGGAGAAAAAAAGCGCACTTTCTTCGAGGTTTGTGTGGAACAGAGTAAGGAGAAGGGGGGTGGGCAGGGAGGAGGGCACTAATCAAAGCCAAGACCCGGGCGGCGTAGCGAGCGTCTCGGAGTCGGTGGAGTGTAAACGCGGGCAGGATCCACGCAGGGCTGCTCTCACGGGGGTCTCCGCAAGATCGCGCGCAGGCGTGGGGACCGCAGCCGGGTGAGTCCCCACACACTCTGGCCCGACCCGCGCCCCCTGCGCGTCACCGCCAGCCCTGCCTCCGCGCGCCTCCTCCTGCTCCACCTCCCCGGCGCGGCGCGGTCCGGCTCGGGGGCCGGAGGAGCGCGGGCGGGAGGAGCACTCCGTAGGCCCGGGAGCTCGGCAGGCCCTCGGCGCGGGGGAGCCACGGCGCGGCGCTGCGAGCGTGACCGGGAGAGGAGGGAGCGGAGGTGAGCAGGGTGGCCAGAGCTCCGGGGTGGCCGATCGGGGGTCGCCGAGCAGCGGGCGCTGTGCGTGAGCCGCATCCTTCCTCTCGGCTTTAGGGGGCTTGGAGCTGGCCAGGTGGTGTGTGCGAGGGATGCGGGAGGACGTCCGTTGCACCTATTTCGCCCCCTCCTCCCCAGCTGTCCTCCCGGAGCTCCGGGAAGTCCTCGGGTCCGGGCCCAGCAGAAAGGAGGCCAGGAGAGACCTTGTCCCAGGTAGGATGTGCCCGAAAGGGAAAGGACCCGCAGGTTACTTTTGCCAGCCACTTTGGATTGATGCGGCACTTTTCACTGTTATTACAGCGCTGCTTTGCAAACAGGTAAATAATGCCTGCAGTGGCTTTGCTTATAAACCCGGTCATGTAATCCTGGTGTGCTCAGGCCATTTTGCGTTAGAAGTAATTGGTCTGTTCTTTCAGTGTCCTTAATTACCTCTGCGTCCCGTGTTCAGCCTCAGCTGAAACTTGTTGAAAATTATGCCCTAAAAATCTTGTTCTGAAAATAACATAGGGAGATAAAGAGATTTCCCCGTCCCCCGTGGTCGGGGAGATTTCCATTTATTATCTTCACTATCCTGTGGGGCAGGATTCGTGTCAGTGTTTACTCTTCAGGCAGATTGTTTGTTTGTTTGTTTGTTTGTTTTTAGGTAAAAAAACTTATTCTGGGTCACGTTTAATGATCACCCATCACTGTAGGTGAAATAAAATTCAGACTCCAACCCCCACTTCAGCCCTCAGGACTTGATGACCTAAAGTCCCAGTTAACCACCCCACGGCTTGCAACCTTCTCCCCAGTCTACCCCCCACCCTTTTCATAGCTTTTTATTACCACTTTATTTAGTTGGTCTGTTTCCTTTCTCTGACACTATACTTTTTTTCTGCACCCTCAAGATAACCTATTTGGAGAAGCAAAATACAAAATCCTGAGTATGTAGCAGCATCGATGCAGCAGTCAGGCTGCTTGGAGATGCTTGTGATGGTGGCATCAGCTGCAGTTTCTGCCTCTCAGCTCGTCGGGGTGGGGTGTGGGAGGTGGGGGTGGGGGCAGTATCAACAGTGGTAAGTTAGCTAATTGTGAAAGATGGAAATGAGAAGCTTCATCTAAATCACTGTCATTGTACTGGTACCATGGAAAATGTACTTCTATTGAATGAGAATAATTGTATTTTAACACTGGAACAGAGCACGGATGAAGGCAGAATTTTAAAATGATTACAAATGATATAGAAAAACGAGAAGGATACAGATGCAACAAAAGCTCCAAAGGCTGGGCCTGTGAGAAAAGGTGCAAGCAGAATATCAGGAGGTAGAGTTACTCTCTGCTCAGTCTGTAACCATGACTCTGAGGTAACCAAGACATTGACACGCCACTCAATCCTTTGGGGCCTTTTGGGCCCACAGATCTTAACCATCAGAAAGACAGATCTGGCCTAGAGACTCATTACATTTTCTTTGGCCTTGGCATTTATAAAAATGCATTTAGTGACAAAGAACATTTATTGCATACTTAGTTGGTATGTGCCAGGCAGAGTGGATAGGAGAGAGAGAAAGAAAGAGAGAGAGAGAGAGAGAGAGTGACAAAGAACATTTATTGCATACTTAGTTGGTATGTGCCAGGCAGAGTGGATAGGAGAGAGAGAAAGAGAGAAAGAGAGAGAGAGAGAGAGAGAGAGAGAGAGAGAGAGAGAGAGAGAGAGGGAGAGGGAGGGAGAGAGAGAATGAGTTGAGGAGTGTAAGTAAACAGTCAAAAAGTAAATAAGCAGTTCTTTAAAACAACTCCCCAGGAACTTAACAGGGGCTGAAAGAAGCTGTGGTTGGTGGGCTAGATTGAATCACACCTATAGGAGACAGAGTTCCCCAGGATGGAAAAGAGATCTGTCTTTTCCAATTTTTGAAAAGGATTCTGGGGCTGAGCAGTAGGAAATACGGGCCATCAGGATAAGGCTGGAGAGGTAAGAAGAGGTTGTCATATTTGGGGCCTTTAGGGTCATAGTCAGGTATGAGAAGGAGCCACTGACTTTTAAGGAAGAGAAACATTTTGTGCTTTCTGTATTTTAAGATGGTAGAGAGCGGTTGTGTAAAAGGTGGACCATTTATAAGATGTTGGCAAGCCAGACATGATGCTAATGTTCTTCAGGTACCAGTTCCTGAGACAGGAGGAGCATTTGAGCCCAGGAGTTTTAAGACCAGCCTCAGCAGCACAGGGGACCTCACCTCACAGTTTGGGTGGGGGTGGGGTGGGTGAAGGTTTGTATTAAGAATGGATAAAAGCACCTGGGCTAGTTGGGTATGCTGGTGTCATCTAAGAAAGCATAAGAGATATTTTAAAGTGGCTGGGCTTGGTGGTACCCACCTTTGATCTCAGCAGAGGCAGGCAGATCTCTATGAGGCAAGGCCAGCCTGGTCTACATAGCAAGTTCCAGACCAGCCAGAGCCACACTATGAGACCAAGAAATAGTTTTAAAGGACAGGGGTTTCTGGGTGAAGGAAAACAAAGCATAGAGATTGACTGTCCCTCCCTCTACCCCACCCCACCCCAGAGTCTCACTTGAGCATCTGGTAGGAAATGGTGAAACTGGTAGATTGCAGATAGAATTGAGTTTTGAACCTGTTAAGTTTGAGATGTCATGAGAAAGGCTGTAACTATCTACCCTTAGGAGGCAAAAGGGATGGTCTCCAGGGGAGAGTGTGAAGACTGGCTTTTTATGGGTGAAGGTAGCCTTCATGAATGTATGAGATTAGTAAGCATGGTTGTTTGGTTTTTCTTTAGCATTCTGTGGAGTGAAGATACAGAGAAAATGGGTAGCTGGGTTCTTCCAGAGTTTTACTAAGTGTATGTGGTAGCAGGTTAAGAATGGAGGATCTTTTCAAGGGAATAACTCAATGTACACAGGGTTTAAAGAGAAGCCAGGAGTGGAATGGGAGGTCCATGGACAAAAGTTGTTTTGCCTTCTAGACATATCAGTGTGAAGATTTAAGCTGAGGTTACTAGGAAGGTACTGGATCGTGTCCAGAAAGTGAATGATGGGGGAGGCAAAGATGCATTGCTTTTGATGAACTAGTCATGAAAACAATAGACCCTGAGGGTGAGGGTAAGATGTTTAGCTCTACCAGGGGAGGTGGTACCTTTAATCCCAGCACTTGGGAGGCGGAGGCAGTCGGATCTCTTGAGTTTGAGGCTACCCTGGTCTACAGAGCAAGTTCCAGGACAGCTAAGGCTACACAGGGAAACCCTGGCTCAAAAAAAAGGTTTCTCTTGCAATGGTGAAGTCTTGAGATGGTTGTCAGCTGCTGGGCTACAGAGACCAGCATCCCCAGTGAAAAGGGATAATCAGAAGTCAGTAGAGAGCAGAGAGGTTAGGGAGAGGTTGTTAGAGTTTCAGGATAAGTTAAGGAGGTTCGGATATGAGCTTGTGAAGACTACAATAACTTGCCTCATGGTCCTGGAGGAGTTTTGATTTTCTTGATAGCAATCAGCAGATTGCTCTAGTCATGAGAATCTCTGAGAATAGCTCTTTTCTGAGTTGCGGTCATCCAACTACTAATGTCCTAGATATTTCCATGCAATATAAATTAGGCTCTTTTTTTCCCCCCAAAATCAATTTAGCACAACTACTATTCTGCTAGAGGAATGTCAAGGAATCCTAAACGGGGGAAAAAATCTTAGGGGCTATCTTAGTCACTGTTCTGTTGCTGTGAAGAGACATCATGACCAAGGCAACTCTTTAAAAAAAAGCATTTAATTGGGGGCTTGCTTACAGTTTCAGAGCTTTGTCCCGTATTATCATGGCAGGAAGCATTGTGGTGCACAGGCAGATATGGTGCTGGAGAAGGAGCTGAGGGTCTTACATCCTGATCTTTAGGCACAAGAGAGACCAGGCCTGGCATGGGCTTTTGAAACCTCAAAGCCCATCCCTAGTGACACACTTCCTCAACAAGGCCACACCTATCTGAGCCTTTGGAGGTTTTTATTCAAACTAACACAAGGGCTATGCAGCGTACTGTACTTGCACTGTCTTCTAGTGTTAATACTCCTTCAAATATTAACTGCATAGGTCAAGTTAAATACCCAGAGGGACCTCGAATCTCAAGGAGCCTGTGTGCTACTTAAAATATACTTTTAACAGGAACTCCTGTTCTTGCTGTTAACTCTGAGGTGATAATGTAACATCTTATAATGCTTCCAGACTTCAAAAGAAGAGAATGTTAGCATTTGGAGAAGATCAGAGGAATCAAGTAGAGTCAGACTGACAATCGGGATAGTTTAAGGCACTTACAGCAGTCCATTTACCTCACAAAAATAAAACTCGCTATACATGGAATGAATTTACCAATTACTTAATCTATATTACCTTCAAACGACATTAAATAAAAACTTAGAGAAGATCAAAAGTATTTTAGCTAAAGTGGCCCTTGGGTCAGCACTATGCCCACTATCTGGAGCTTGTAGCTAAGACAGAAGTCAGAGTCACCTCAGATCTTGATATTCCAGGAGAATCCCAGCCCTGATGCCCACATTTGCATTAAAGTTTACCAAGCTCTCCACTTAACAGACAGGTTTGCTCAGGCAAGGGACTTCTGGAGCTAGTAGAACTGAGGAAAAAACAGCATCCCCTCCTGGGAGAGTGAAGGGTTAATATCCTCAGAACACTTGGAATTTTGAGTGTTATGAAACAGGAACTCAGTGTCCTGTGTGGTGTGATGACACATTTTAAGGAATGGCATCGCTCTTCCCAGAAAAGTGAAGGGAGGATGTTGCAAATCAGTTAGTGGGCTTTCTGACGCTGCTTCAGAGTCGGGGAGGGGAATGGACTGCAGGCACGGGCTTCACCTTCCCTGACTAAGGGCAGCTGTTGTCCTCTGGGGGCTTACTTTTCACTGCTGAGGAAGAGCAATGTGAAAACAGACATAAGTTAGAATTAGCTACATCTGCAGTCTCTAGGGGAGCAGCAAAACAAATACTAAATTGAATTCTGACCTTTTAGAGGTGTTTTTGAACTTGTCTACCTAGTCTTCACACCTCATGACCTCCTATAACCTTTTTGATGCCCACACCGAACCCTCAGCAGATTAAATAAACATCAGGATGGAGGAACAGGTGACCAGGGGTCATGACTTTTAAATCTCTCAAGGTCATTCAATGGAGCTACAGTTGAAGATGGCTACCTTGAGGCAGTTCTGAGTTGGGTTCTGCTCACCAGTGGGGACCTTCCTCACCCCCCATTTCTATTGTGCAAACAAGCTCAGAGGACACACAGAAAGAAAGGTTATATTAACTGATCCATCAGTGGCTTTTTCAGGGCCACTTTTCAGGATGAAGGATGCAGGACCTTTTAAAAAGGGAGAGTTTGCAATTAGACAGTTTTCTTACATTGAGTGAGTGACATTAGCTTTGATAAAAATGTGGTGCATTTACGGAAAGCTATTCATTTGTATATTTAAAATGGAGAACTTCCTTGTGTAAATCACACCTCAGTCAAGTTTCATTTTTTAAAGTTCTGTGTATGTTTTGTCATTCATAAGTTCATTGACTGGATAACCGGGAAGTCAGTGCCTGTTTTGCGGCATTGGAGAGTCTGCGCCTGGTTGAATGCTTGGTAGGATAAGTAATGGGGATTGATGAGTCCGAGTGTGGGTCTTTGAGGTTGGACCAATGCCTAAACTGATATCACCCACCGAGAATACATGAGGGTCTTAGTCGAGGAAACATTAGGGAGATGTTCTGCCTTATTGAAAAGGATCTAAGGACTGAGGGGACAGCTTAGGTGGTAAAGTGTTTGATGAGGATCTTCGTTCTGTTGCCAGCACCCTTGTAGAGAGCCTATAAACCCAGCACCACATAGGCTGAGACAGGGGGATGGGGTTGTGAGACCCTACCTCAAAAAATGAAGTGGAAACTGATTGAGATAGACACTCAGTGTTGACCTCTAACCTCCACGTGTACAGGCACATACATGCCTGCACACCTACCCACAGATGCTCACACATATACACACACCTAAAGTTAGTATCTGAAATCTTTGAGAAAAGGGTTTTAACTAACAGATGATTAGATTCAACCACAATTTTTTTTTTTTTTACATCTTTCTGGTTGAAAATGTTTCTAAAAAAATAACTGAACCATTCCTCCAAACCCCACGTTTGAACAGGGTCTCATAGAGCCCAGGCCAGCCTTGAATTCACAAAGATGAGCCTGTTTCCCCCTCCCCAGTTCTGGGGTTGTTTTCCTCCATACCTGGCACTTAATCTTCCTGACTCCATCTGCCGGGTGCTGGGATTACTGTTGTATGCATCTGTGCCCAACTTCTGTACTAGTAATTGCAACACAATGAACATAAGATGTTGTTTTAATGACTCAGTTTCAAGGAATGTGTGTAGCTGACATCTACATGACACTTAGTTATTGAATACATACTGAACCGAAGAAACACATTGGAAATCTCAAACCGCCCCGGAGTAACTCCACTGCGTTAGGAAATCGCGTGCCATGCCTTTGGGGTTTTCGGAAGGGTTTGAAAGTGTTCAAAAATCTCTAAACAAAACACAAACATGGATACCCATAGAAACCTGTTCTTGCCCTACACGAGCAGTTGGGTTTTACTTGTTTATTGAAATGTCAAGAGGATTTAGGGACTGTCTTAGCACAAGCCAAAAGTTGTAGTGTTTAAAGTCATCCTCTAGTTTGAGAGGTTAGGATATTTGGCATTCCATTTCTGGAATGTGCCTCCTGGCTTTGGAGTATGACTAAGCAGATAACTGTGGGTTAGGGGTGGGGGCTGGGCTGGGGGGTGGCTGACTGGGGTCTAGAGAAAGGCCTGTTCTCCTAACAGCTACTGGGGCTCTTCCACTTGGAGCCTCCTACTGGCTACGGAAATTATAGCCCTCAAGTTTGGCAGATTTACAAACCAATCAAATGAGACAACGGCTGCTTAAGATTGCCAACACAGACAACTGTTGTCACTACCCTTTCCTGAACAAAGGACGTTGGATGTATAAAAGTAGGAATGAGACACTCTTAAGTATAAAGGACAATTCCTGAAGAGGAATAACTATGTGGAAAATGCCTTGCTTTCTCCATGTATTTTTAGTTGGTATTCAGGAGTTAGCAGGTTTCCTGAGGCCATGGAAAGCCGTATTCACATGGACATTCCTAGTTTTAAGCTAGATTGTATTCATGGCACATTATCACAAAATGATGCAGAAGCCACACATGAATTAGGGAGTAGTTTGTAAATTCAAATTTATTATCTTTTCCACATATGACATACAGCCTGCAGAGATGGCTCAGGCATTAAGAACACTGACTGTTCCACAGGCCCTGGGTTCAATTCCAACACACACGTCGTGGCTCACAACCAGCTATAGCTCTAGTCCCATGGGGTCCAGTGCCTTCTGGTGTATAGACATACATGCAAACAAAAAAACCCATATATATAAAATAAATAAAACTTTAAAAAAACTGAAAAACATATACAATCACAGACACATGCACAGAGAGAGGGAAGCAGCAGAAAGAGAGACAGACAGACAGACACACACACACATACAGAGAGAGAGAGAGAGAGAGAAAGAGAGAGAGAGAGAGAGAGAGAAAGAGAGAGATGAGCACACAGACACACACAGACACACACACACACACACACACAGACTGTCTTGAAGTAAGGGAACAAGCACCATGCAATGCTCTCTCCTGGCTTTCTAAGGCATGTTCTGACTATACAATTTAGTTTTTTTTTTTTTATTATAAGTACATCAGGTCACTCCCTAATGAGACTGATTTTCTTGTGTGTAAGCATGGTGCCGTCCCTTGCCTTTTATCTCTGTGTACAGAGCATACAGTGGCCCCGGATATACTCACAGTGGGCCTCTGCAGGGCAGATCTACCTTGAGATTATAACTGCAACATCCCTTGTCAACTGAAATGTGTAAATCTTGTAAAGTTTACAGTGTCTTTTTTGTCCTAACAGAATAAATGTGAAGATGTCATCAATAACCCAGGTATACACTTGTAAGACAGGAAGGAAAGGACCCAGAGTACAGGATAAACAAATGATGAATGAAGTTGATACCATCTCAGCATCAGATATATCCATTGTGGGAGATGGGCTGCTCTTGGGTCTGAATATGGCTGAGCCCAGTGAGATATGAACACACACTTTGGCCCTTTCTCTTTTCTTCTCTCTAAAAGCAAAATATGCCTTCAAGGTGGCTACAGGGTCTCAGAGGAGGGATAATATATATTCTCCATCCACCTGAGGATTTAAAATACTACTGTGCATAAAAATACTCTATGGGCCATGAAATTACATGCACAAGTATGGTGTATGGTTTCAACAATAAATGTTTCATATCTTAGATCCATGAAAAATCTCTTGGGCTGGCAAGCTGGCGTATTGAGTAACTGCTTGCTCTGTAACTCTAGTGACCTGAGTTTGATCCCGTGAGTAAACAGTATAAAGAGAAAACTACTATCTCCACAAAGTCGTCCCTGATCACCACAGTCATTTGGCTGTACCAACACACACACACTAGGTAATAAAATTAAAATCCCTCTCTGAGTGTGCAGCTCTGTGTCTGTCTGTCTGTCTCTCAAACACACACACACACACACACACACACACACACACACACAGAGCACAATGAAAGAGTCTCATTTATTAGGCTAATTTTTGTTCCTAGACACACCACACTGTTATGGTTCAGTTAGAACTTGCCATTAGGAACACTATGTGATTAAGGTCCAAGCATGTTTATACAAGTGTTGCCCATTAATAGATATAAAAGTTGCGGCTTACTGAGTGTTGACATTTTTTTCGGTTCTAAGGTATTTATGTACTTCTTCACACTCTGACTTAGAGAGGTCTGAACTCGTTCTATTGTTTTTAAAGGCAGATAAGTGATTAACTTTTCATGTTTTTAGTAGGAAGGCCTTATTGTCGAGATTGTTAGAGGGAATGGTTTTGCAGTTCTTCCATGAGAGATGCTGTAGTATACACTGAATGGCTCAGGACTGGTGGGGCTCTCTGGCTTTTCTGAGTGACTCTAGTAGCACTTTTCATCCTTAGGTCACGCCCTAGGCGAAGGGGAAGGTAAGTTGGTCACCCTTCATTTGGAGATGAAAAGGGTGTTGGTGCCTTTAACTGCAGGTTTCCAGGGTAGTCAGCACTACACCCGGAATGTGAGGATGGCTTTGTAGGAGCAGGTTGCCAAGGGCTCTCTGAGAGCTAGGGACTGCGCCTTGAGGGTGAGCGGGATAATTATACTTTCTGACTTGAAAGGCGTGAAAGGAGACATGTAATAGGTGCAAAGGTAGTGCATTTTCTCCCTTCAGGGAATCTAAATTAGACATTAAGATCACTAAGTGACACTGAAAAACAATAAAACGGCCAAAGAAGATCACCAGTGTGAACATGACTTCTCCACCCTGTCCACATAGCTGCTTCCCTGCCAACAGCGGCAGCAGCAAAAAACAACCACCAACGTTTCTGAGAAAAAAAAAAAGACAAAAAAAACCCCAAATAAACAAACAAAACCATAAACTGGACAAAAAGAAAGCCCACATAAACACAACCAAACCGTTTTAAATAGGGGAGCTATGTTATGGGATATGGGGGTTTAGCTGATCTTTTAGTAGGTGGTTATTTTTCTCTATTTCATTTCATTTCGTGAGACAGGGTCTCACTATATAGCCCTGATTGGCACTGGAACTCACTATACCTGACTGGCCTAATACTCATTTAGATCCACCTGCCTCTGCCTCCTGAGTGCTGGGATTAAAATTTTGTGCCAGCATGCTTGGCTCTTACTAGATTTTGATGCCTACTTTACTTTAATATTGTTTAAATAATGGCATTAATTTTATGTTGGCTGTTTTATCTTAGCCTCCTTTCAAATCTGTAGTTAATCAGGTATATATAGGATAGCTCATAGACGCTACCCCCAAATGACTGTCTAGTTTGGAGTGTACTGCAAGGAAATTTGTTTTTATGGGTTTTCTTTTCCCTCCCTCCCTCCCTCCCTTCTTTCCTTTCTTCCTTCCTTCTTTCCTTTCCTAGCTATCTCTTGGGATCAAGGTCCTTTCCTCTGCTGCTGATGTCATTTCTGATTTGCCGCATGATGTGTTGATCACATGCTTGCTGGGAGCTGATTTTGACAAACATTCTGAGTGAAATTCCTTCTTTGCCCTAGGCCTTCCTCGCTACACAAAGGCAACTCCACTGTCCAGCAGCATCTGCTGCATTCTTTTAGAAATGCAACCTCCGAAGCCTCCCTCCAGACCTGAGTGAGAAGCCACATCTTAAGATCCCCAGGTATTTGTGTGTGCTTGCAAAGCCCCCACTTAGCTGTTAAGTTTTCTGTTTCTGAGATCTTCTCTAACTTACAGATCGTGTTTGCTATATTCTGGGTTATATATAGCATGTCAAAATATTTTGTCCTTAGAGACGTAGGACATAATTACAGTGTCTAAAAGTTTTTTTTTTTTTAATGTTTGTCAATAGGTTTAGTTGGTGAACATTTCCTCTTCTCTCTTCTAGGACACTCCTGGTGATCTTATAAGAGTCTCTACCATGGAATCCATCTCCATGATGGGAAGCCCTAAGAGTCTGGAGACTTTTTTGCCTAATGGCATAAATGGTATCAAAGATGCAAGGAAGGTCACTGTAGGTGTGATAGGAAGTGGGGATTTTGCCAAATCTCTGACCATTCGGCTTATAAGGTGTGGCTATCACGTGGTCATAGGAAGCAGAAATCCTAAGTTTGCATCTGAATTTTTTCCTCACGTGGTAGATGTCACCCACCATGAAGATGCTTTAACAAAAACAAATATAATATTTGTGGCTATCCATAGAGAACATTACACCTCCCTGTGGGACCTGAGACATCTGCTTGTGGGAAAAATCCTCATTGACGTGAGTAACAACATGAGAGTAAACCAGTACCCAGAATCCAATGCAGAGTACCTGGCTTCATTATTCCCGGATTCCTTGATTGTCAAAGGATTTAATGTGATCTCAGCTTGGGCACTTCAGTTAGGTCCCAAGGATGCCAGCCGGCAGGTATGCAGCCTTTCATTTTATTATTTGGTATTTTGTCGTCAAGTAAACCAAGTTCTAAGGCATTTATTTTAGTGATGGTTTGAAAACTATGAGAGATCATGTGAAGACTACATTCCAACTTTGTAAATGCGTACTGCTCTTCACAAAAATGATGCAAGTGAAAGAGGAATTTTAAGTTAGTTTAAAATCAGTAGTATAACAGGAAGCCTTAATTCACTAATACAAATAGTTAAGAATAACAGGTCAGCTAGCTTGCTAACCCAAGGCCATCACAGGGGATGCAGAGCTAGAGAAACAAAGGTCAATTGAGTATTCCGGGAATCTGTTCCCGTGGTGTCTGACTTAGCCTTCTCTAGAAAAACTCCCACCAGAGGTCCCAAGGACTTGCGAATTAAATTCAGCCAGATGGTCTGTTGGCTCAGATAAGCATTCACACTGGGTCCCAAGGCCACAGGGACCAGAGACTGTTCTCATGAGATCTACTTACACATATTACAGACATTTGAAACAACCAATTGTGTGTGATTACCCACAACCCTCTCCCTCCCCCCAGCCTTTGCCTATATAAACCCTAAGCTATTAGGTCTCAGGGTCGATAACCCCTACCTCCTGTATGGGTGCGTATCGACGCGAAGCTTCGATAATAAAGGACTTGACTCATGTGATTACAGCAAGCCGGTCTCAGGAGTGTCTTTGGGTCCGCATCCTTCCTGGGTCCCCTTGGAGGCGTCTTTCACAAGTGTTTGATAAGATGACATGGACTTTTCTGTAATAACCAGTTAATTAAAGGCAGGGTGATTTAGCTGATGTGCTCTCCAATGCATTACATTAATCCTCCAGAATTCTAAAAGAATATTGCAAGGGTTTTTATTTTCCCTTCTTCTGCCCTTCCTTTCCTCCTCTCCCTTCCTGCCTTTTTGTAGATACTTGGTAACACAGCATCCCATCTCTGAAGGAGAAAGGACTTCAGACAATCCTTAGGAACCTTCAAGAATAGCCTTTGTATTTTTCATGGACTAAGCTTTTATAGCAGATTGAGTGTAAAGTCTGTTTCAAACACAGACTTTAAGCTTTGGGGAAGGTGGGCAGAGGTAGAGTGGATTTCTCAGCTTTACTCTCAGCGTACAAGTCTTAGTTCAGTTTGTGAAAGACACAGATGGCAGGTGTCATTAATGCTTCTGGAATAGAGCACCTATAAGAAAATGCGTAAGTAAGGCACCTTAAGAGTCCTCCAGAGGTGTGCTTAGATATTAACTCTCAGGGTTGTAGTAAAAGGACCTTCTCATTTTTGTTCATAAAGACAGTTAATTGTGGGGCTGGAGAAATGGCTCAGCACTTAAGAGTACATACTGTTCTTGCAGAGGACAGGAGTTTGGTTCTCAGCACCCACCTTGGGTAGCTCACAACCACCTGTAAACTCCAACTCCAGGCCTCCGAGGGCACCTGCACGCATGTGCATAAACCACACACAGTAAACTTTTAAAAAAGATGGTTAATTGAATTCATTATACAGTAAATGTATTACCACTCTACGCTATGCATTGCAGTTGTGAAGTCTTTATTGAGTACTTTCTATCACAGTGACTCAAGTGCCTCAAGTGAGATGGATATACTCTGCGCACAGTTTCAGAGGGTTCGGTCTATCACGGTGTGGAAGGATGAGGGAGTAGTGCCATTTACATCATAGAGGGAAGAAAACAGAGAAAGGGCAAAGCCACCGTTCTGCTGCCTTTCTCCTTTCTCCTTTCTCTTCATTTATTCAGCCCAGGACCCCAGCCCATGGGTGGTTCCCCAGGCCACGGGATGGTATGCCTGCCTTGAGGGAGTCTTTCTTCCCCGTTTAATCTTTGCTGGAATGTCTCTCAGACACGCACAGGAGTGTGCCTCATCTTCCCTTAGGTGATCTCAAATTCAGTCACGTTGACAAGATTGGCCACCACAGTGACCGCTTTCAAGTCTCCCTGTTTCTCTCTCCTTGCCTCCTTGTTTCCAGTGTTTTGAGAGTACCCACTTTAGTCCACACTGGCCTTAAACTGTTTCAATCTCATCTCTCAGCCTCTGAAATACTGGGGTTATAGGCATAAGCTACCATCCTTGGCTCAAGTATTTAAAACGGTATGGGATTCCTCCAAGGTTTCGCCCACTGCTCTGGGCTTCTGATCAGACATGGCAAGCTACACTAAGCACATGCTTGAACACAAACTAGACTCTAGCTTCTAGAGGCTGTCCTGTCTTTTTTTTTTTTTTTAAACATATCCTGTAATGTTTGGCAAATTCAAACAAGGGCCTATCAGACAACGTTAACTAATCACTTGCTCATATTCATGATCATTTTAATTTTTAACAGAATGTTAAAAAAAAAAACCCTTGTGGAACAGTGATTAAATTCAAATTCAGAGTGAGCTTCAAGCTCCATCGTGACAAGAGCCATACAATTGGCACTTCACAATGCCTGTGCCCTTAGCTTTGCACATCTCACTTGTAGAGCTAGATTATCAAAATGTGTCCTCAGTTATAGACTTTTCTCCAAATAAGAAAACAGGGTTTGCTCCACCATCCCACACCTGCAATAAATCAAGGTGGATGCTTTCCTTATTTCTTTGCTATAAACGAATTCCCATTTTAGAAATCCATATTTGTTCAACATCACAGAGTCGATCATTCATCTGGCTACCATCCACATGAAAGCTGAGCTGTGCATTGTCACCCTTGTGTGACTAGGTATCGCATGCAAACACTTCGGTGTGACTTCTTTCAGAGTCTGGGTACATATGTCTTCAGGCATATATGTGGAAATTTGTTTTTCCCAAGCAGTGCTAGAGAGTTTCTACTGATATTTTTCTGTGCCTGAGTGAGATGGTCTACCTGTCTATAGCAGTAGCTCATGCCAGCAGTGAACGTGGGGCTCAACAGATACTTGTTGAATTTTCAACTGTATTATATAACCAGTGAGGTTTTGAGCTTTCTTTCCCTACCTATTGCATCCTTAGAGTTCCTGTAGAGATGATATGTTTAGTCTTAGAAAATGGCAGTTCTCATTGTGTTTAAATTAAGCCTTCTTGTTCTACTTGTGAGAAATATAATTATCAAAAATAATGAAGAAATGTTCTATGCTCACTAATGAAATAGCATACCTGGAGTTGTTCTAGTGTTTTACAGATACTTGATGACTAGGCCTCTGACCCTAAGTTTTACAGGGAGCTTGGCATCATGACACAGTTTGCACATTTTACTTCCAAAGGCCACTACCTAGAGGCTGCTCATGTGCACACTTGTTGGATAAGGAGCAAAGGGGTTTCCACCACTCTGCTAGGCAGAATCTCTGCATTCCTAGAATTGAACGTTGTCCAGGGAAGGAAGCAAGGGGATCCAGCCTCACTCTTAGAAAGCTGGGTTAGGGGGATGGCAACCCCATAGGAAGATCAACAGTATCAACTAACCAGGACCCCTGGGAGCTCTCAAAGACTAAGCCACCAACCAAAGAGCATACACGGGCTGGTCCATGGCACCCCCCCCCCCAGCACATATGTAGCAGAGGACTGACTTGTCTGGCCTCAGTGGGAGAGGATGTGCCTAATCCTGTAGAGACTTGATGCCCCAGGAAAGGGGGATGCTGGGGGGAGGGGGGTGGTGATGGGGTAAGAGTACCCTCTCAGAGGCAAAAGAGTGGGGGGATGGGGTGACCAGAAGGGGGCAACATTTGGAATGCAAATAATTTAAAGAGAGAGAGACAGAGAGACAGAGAAAAGAAAAAAAGCTGGGTTGGGAGGATATGGCCAGGTAGACCTCTGGGGAGGGATGTCCCTTCCCTTGCAGCTGCTGCTGACCCTGGTGTCCTAGAACAGCCAGCATCCCCCCTCTTCCAGCAGCTTCCCTGTCACGAGGACCTCTTGGAGCCTTCCAGGTTACAGCTAGAGTCTCTGAACTTTATTTTCATCATAGGTGGCAAAGACTTTCTAAATTTTTGATTGCAGTATTTTAAGTCTTTTAAGATACTAACAAATTTAACCATAATGTGACACTTTTGATTAATCTACTGTTAAGATACTGTTTTAAAACTGATACAAACACCTATGGTAGTATTTACTTTAAGTCTGTTTAATAGTTTACAGTTAATAATCATTTTTTTTCTCCATTCACTTGTGTCACAAAAAATCAATAAACAATGCCCCGAAGATTCAGTCGACTTTGTGGTTGAGGATAGGACTTTCATGAACAGCAGTGATAACCCTCCTTTTTGGCTTGTCTTACAGGTTTATATATGCAGCAACAATATCCAAGCTCGACAACAGGTTATTGAGCTCGCCCGTCAGTTGAATTTTATTCCTGTTGACTTGGGATCTTTATCATCAGCCAAGGAGATTGAAAACTTACCCCTGCGACTGTTCACCCTCTGGAGGGGGCCAGTGGTAGTAGCCATAAGCTTGGCCACATTTTTCTTTCTTTATTCCTTTGTCAGAGATGTGATACATCCATACGCCAGAAACCAGCAGAGTGACTTTTACAAGATTCCTATTGAGATTGTGAACAAAACCTTGCCTATAGTCGCCATTACCCTGCTGTCCCTGGTGTACCTGGCGGGCCTCCTGGCAGCTGCCTATCAGCTCTTTTATGGCACTAAGTACCGTAGATTTCCGCAGTGGTTGGATACCTGGTTACAGTGCAGGAAACAGCTGGGATTACTGAGCTTTTTCTTCGCTGTTGTTCATGTTGCCTACAGCCTCTGCTTACCAATGAGGAGGTCAGAAAGATACCTATTTCTCAACATGGCTTATCAGCAGGTACTGGACATGCTTGTGATTTATCTGGTCATAGTGTGATGCCTTCATAAGAATTGTAAAATCTGAGTTAAAGTAGTATCAATTTATATATGCTTTTAAATGTCATTTTCCCTTTGGTATATTTGGGGCAGGAAAGTGTTTCTGTTTTTTTTTTTTTTAAACAGATATGTTGCTTTTCTGTATAGTTGTGTAGATACTGGAGAGGAATATATTTAGGAGGTTTTGTTTTGTTTTGTTTGAGACAAGGTCTAACTATGTAGCCCTCACTGGCCTAGGACTTTCTATATAAATCAGGCTTGCCTCAAACTCACAGAGACCTACCTGCCTGCCTCTGCCTTGTGAGTGCTAGAATTAAAGGCATGAGCCACTATACCTAGTAAACAGGAATTTGATTAGAGCTTTTTCAGCATAGAAGCCCAAAAGGCTCTTTCAGGATGTTGGTAGGGATAGCTTTTTTTTTTTTTTTTTAATAAGGATGTTTTGTTAACTAAAACTGGACAAAGTTAAGATGGTATTAAGAATGTGTTTTCTTCCACTTATAGATGCATATTTAAATCACAATTTCAGCTGAAAGAGTCCAACTCTTGATTTATGCTCTAATTATATTGTTCATGAATAAATAATTCTAGAAGTATTCACTATGTAGATTGCTATAAATTCACAGTTAAGTCATACTTGACTAATGTATATTAGCAATATAAGGGAAGGATTTAAAAAAAAATACTGCAAATCAATGAAGCCGTTCGGAGTTTGGAAGGTATATTAGTGGAGTAATTCAAGTGGACAGATAATTCAACTCCATATCCTTATCCTGAGGACTTTTTGGTTTCCAGGAAAGAAGGGTAAGAAAGAGACATTAACATTGGGTGAGGAAGAAGGTAACTTTGAAGTCCCTGCCTGGCTTCTAAGTTAAACTTAGTAAAGCGTACCCAAAACATTCAGCCACATGTATACCAGCCTGTAAAAGCACCTGAGAACTGAGGCTAACTACAGATTCTTTCTGTCCCTCGGGAAGCAGCCAGCTGGCATTCCATTGTCTTGGACTGCAGTAGTGATTCACTGTGAACCTGATGTCGTACTTAGCCCCACCCCCACCCCCACCCCCCGCACCCCCTTACAGGCTTGAAAAGGAGGGCATCTTAGTCGTGTTTTGATTTAACACTTTCTCCCCTTTTCTCTATGTCTGGAATAATAAGAACAGGTTCTCCACAGTGGTTCATCAGGCTGAATCAGTGCTGTTAATCTTAAAGATGATCTCAAATGGCCTGGTTTTGCTTTGACCAAGAGTTAACGATGTGTAGAATCAGCTAAAGTTCTGATAAGTAAAGGAACTTTGTATTTGTTTCCTTGTTAGGTTCATGCAAATATTGAAAATGCTTGGAATGAAGAAGAGGTTTGGAGGATCGAAATGTACATCTCCTTTGGCATCATGAGCCTGGGCTTACTGTCCCTGCTGGCGGTCACTTCTATCCCTTCAGTGAGCAACGCTTTAAACTGGAGGGAGTTCAGTTTTATTCAGGTATACGGGGGTTTGTTTGGTTCCGCATTGGGCAGCAGAGAGTTTCATTGTCAAGTTCAATGTTAAATATGCACCATCTAAGAAGAGGGCCTTAATTGCATATTTAGTTCAGATGACACATGTAGCTAAAGGCCAGTTCAGTAAGGGAAAGGCCAGTACATCATAACATAACCTTGTCTATCATGTTAAGAATAAAGAGAGAAGTGGGCTTAGGTCAAATTCAATGTTGAAAGTCAATTTATTAATAGGCAAATGAACACACACACACACACACACACACACACACACACAGTTATAAGCACAGTCATGCTAGGTAAGTATGCCAATGGATTGTGACAAGCAACTGGATTTGTAAATCTTGTTAATGTGTTTTAATATGTCAATCACAAACTAATGCATAAGAGTATCTGTAAAGAATGTCAAAGAACACTTGAGTTCTTTAAAAAGCTTATGTTCATCTCCATTAATACCTGTATAACACATTTACATATTTAAGTATATATTATACATATCCACATACATACACACATACATACACACATACATACATACATACATACATACATACATACATACAATTTGGGATTCTAGTTATATGGCCACAGTCTGTACTTTCTGATCCAAATGGATTATACTAAGTTTTATTTTGTCTCTTATCTATTAAGTTTTTTTGTTTTTTTTGGGGGGGTTGTTGTTTTTTGGGGGAGTGAATGGAGAAGTGGTATGACAATTTATCTATGTGGTATTGGCTGTCCTAGAATTTCCTGGAATTTGCTCTGTAGACCAGAAACTCAGATCTTCCTGCCTCTCCCTCCTCAGTGCTGCAGTTAAAGGTGTATACCACATGCCTGGCTGCTTTAGGGGAATTCTAAATGATATTTTTATTCTTTGAGAATGCCATATAAGTACACAATGTGTCTTTATTATTTACACTCCCCACCACTTCCCTCCAAGCCACCCCTTTAAAGCCATGCAGGAATCTTATTCTAATTAAGGCCAACCCTTGTCTAAATTCGTTTTCTCCCTTTGATCACAGCTGAAAGGAAATGAAGGCCTTCTGATAGAAGGTGCTAGACAGACACCTATCATCACAAAGTTAGACAAGTAAATGCAAACATCTTGCCTGCTAGAAAGCTGACATTCTCCTAGTGAACTTAGACATTACATCACTATACTGATATAAACTAGTTGTCAAAGTAAGCAACCTTAATGTAATAATTTAGGGAACTGAAAACTGGTAACTGTTTAACCTATAAAATGACCGACTAAAGCATTTTTAGTCATCTCTTTTATCATGGTCAATGGCCACATGTTTGAATTGTTACCCACCATTACATAGTAATACTCAAATTTTATCATGTTTTCTTATTAACTACGATCTATGTTTGTAATGTTTACGTGTGTGTGTGTGTGTGTGTGTGTGTGTGTGTACTCAAGTGATTGTTCTTTAGTATTTAATGTTGTATCTATGTTTATGCACACATCTGTATATACCTGTTTTTAAACTGTTACAGTTTTATACATAACATATAGCAATTTGGATAATCTCTACCACTAACTAGTTTGCTTGTTTGTTGACACAGAGTTTCACTATATTGCCCAGGCTGGCCTCAGACTAGTGATGTAGATCAGGCTGGCTTTGAACTTGTAGTCCTCTTTTTCATCCTCCCTAGTCCTGGGATCATAGTTGTGTGCCACAGTGACAGCTGTACAAACCTTTATAAAGCATATGGACACCATGCATATCTATACCATTAGAAAAAGCTAGGTGTTCTGATCACTATAATCGTAGTAGTAGAACCAGTCCTAGGATATAAATCAGAATATAAGAGGTCTACAGTGGTATTATTTATACTTGAAGAAATTCAAGATCAGAATGATCAACACAAAAGAAGGATTAAACTGTATCCATTCAATAAAAGATCACATAATATTCATGATGTGTTTTGATAAGGCATGGAAAACCTTGTGATATAATAAATTAAGTAATGAGATTATTCAGTTTATTCAACATGATCTGATTTGTGTAAGATTGCTCACTGTAAATAAGTGTATATGGAATTTATGCAACCTCCTTAAATTACTCAATGCAGAAGACAGTAGATCAGTCACCTAAAATTGAAACATAAACAGGGTATCTGCACAGGTTGTTACGTGAATGAGTAATGAACCTCTTCTCTCTTCCTCCACCATCTCAAGTCTACACTTGGCTACGTCGCCCTGCTCATCACGACCTTTCACGTGTTAATCTACGGATGGAAGCGCGCGTTTGCGGAAGAATACTATCGCTTTTACACACCGCCAAACTTCGTTCTTGCCCTCGTTTTGCCCTCCATTGTAATTCTGGGTAAGATGATGCTACTCCTCCCGTGCATAAGCCGAAAGCTAAAACGAATTAAAAAGGGCTGGGAAAAGAGCCAGTTTCTAGAGGAAGGAATGGGAGGAGCGGTTCCTCATCTGTCCCCAGAGAGGGTCACAGTGATGTGACGACAAGAGGTGCTCGCGGATGGACGCCACGCACACTTCCATCCATGCCATTACTTTAAGCCCTCACCGAGATCCCTGTTAACAGACTGTCAATTGGCTGCAGTCCGAAACCTGAAGTGAGATTTCAGCGGAGAGAGAGATCGGATTCTCTTCAAGTTAATTTTTATAAATGTCATGTTTTTCCAACATGCAGTTTTGTAGTCCACATCTATTGTTACAATCCGGGAGGATTTTCCTTTGTGCAACTGTAACACTGTTGTTCTTCTAACCGTATTGCATAGTTGGGCAGAAATATTTGTAGTTAATAATACAGATGAGATATAACGTTTAGAACACTTGGCAAAACAGCAGAACTAGAAGCTTTTAACATTACTCAGTGGATATGCTTCCCACCCCCCACCCCCAGGCTAAAGAGTTTAATTATTATCCAATTTAAGGAGCAGAAATGCATAGACATATATTATTGAGGAGGGGCACATTACATTAGCATCTCTAGGGGGTACGCAGGAGCAATCTTCCGCTTTCGTAAAAACGAGACCGGAAGCATGTTATCCGTTACACAGAGCAGTGTGAGTATGTGAGAAGGAATTAGAGACAAACCTAAAGCTGAATTGACCGTGGTGCGCTGGAGACGCAACGTTAATACTGCTAATGCACAGCTCACGAGGGCTTTAGTCTCTCACATACAGAGCCATTCCAGTTTCCTACTTATGTCAGTGACGCTGGACCTCCCAAGCTGGTACCCTGAATAAAGGACCAACCCCAGGAATTGTGGACCTGCCTTTAATTTCAATGAAAGTAATTGTTACACATCAGTCTGTATTTGTTACTTTGGCCAGTCACCACCCTTCCTGTGTGGGATTTTACTGACATCCACTGAGGGAGTGTGGAATGGTTCTAAACTCTTGTCCTCTTTAATACTTACAACGAACCCATGAAATAGTTATCTTCATTTTCCCCATGGATAACTGAAGGATGGGAAAGTTAAATTTGCCTCAGGTCACACAGTGAGGATGTGGCAGGGTGAGCCTTCATCCTGGGGAGTCACCGTCAGGAGCCACGGCGTTATAAACATCATTACACACAACCCCTGCCCCACCCATCGCCATGCACCTCATTCGAGAGGCCAGCCGAGATGGTTCCTTTCTTGTGTAGTCATAGGCAGTCTTAGAGTGTGTCGTGTGCATCAAAGGATGCCTAAAAGTATCTCAGTCGTAATTTTAATATTGCTTGTGGGTAGTCCAGAGTTGCCTGGAAACCCAAAGTAGCACAAAGCCTCCAAGTGCAGTGAAGGACTGAGCAGGGAGAAGGCCTAACTGTGGATGAACTGTGGAGACCCTACAGCTCTTTAATGTTCCCATAAGGTGGCCATCTCCTTTGCTCCTCCTGAGAAGCCTTCCTGCCTTTACTACCATTCAGTAGGAAGCCATTTTTAAGCACAAAGGTTATTAGGACAAGTGGTTAATTATAAATCTATATGATTATGTGTCTCTGGACATATAATTCACAAAATTGTCAGAGCTGGTCTTCCATGTGTAAATTGCATTTTGTTCAAACCTTAGGATATACTACATTTTCTCCATATGTTCCAAATTTACTATAGTAAAAGTTCCAGACAAGATGTAATCATGTGTATTCTTCCTAAAATTGTATTGCCTCTACAGTTACCTACTGACTTGAATCCAACCATCAGAAATAAAAGGACTCTTATTTTTGTGGAACCTATCTTTCCTACCAGTGTCTGTTTTCCTATCTTTGCATTGTTGGTCTGGGGAATTGCCCACTATTCTTTGATGTTGCCTTCTTGGCCAACTGTAATATTGAACACCTCATCTTCATTATATTAATCATAATCCTTTTTTGTAGGAATTCAGTACTAGAGTAATGACGTAACAATAAATGCCTACAAGCTGGGTGTGGTGGTGCATGCCTTTAGTCTCAGCACTCGGAAGGCTGATACAGGCAGTTCTCTGTGAGTTAGAGACTAGCCTGGTCTACATTATGAGTTCCAGACCATCCAGAAGTATGCAGCAAGACAATGTCTACATACATACATACATACATACATACATACATACAGGTACTGTCATGAATTAGTAAAAAATAGCAATGTGTTTTTAATTCTTGCTTATTTCTTGAACTTCATTCTAAGGCATCTGAATGTGGAAATACAATGAAATATTTCTAAAAGTTAGATGATTAAAGTTTTTTTTTTTTTTTTTGGTTTTTTTCGAGACAGGGTTTCTCTACGTAGCCCTGGCTGTCCTGGATCTCACTCTGTAGACCAGGCTGGCCTCAAACACAGAAATCCGCCTGCCTCTGCCTCCTAAGTGCTGGGATTAAAGGCATGTGCCACCACTGTCCAGCTAAAGTATATTGTTATGTATATGATAGGTAGCTCATATAAAAATACTGCTAGTATACATACATGGGACCTTTGAAAATATGAAATTATGTGAAAGTTATGAGTATAATTTCAAATGACACATTTTTGGAATGCTACAAAAATTGATAGCTTTAGTTTTTAGAATAAATGTAATACAATCATTGCAATTCTAAATGCTGAAAGGCCTGAACCCTGGGATGGAGGAGTCTAACCCCTGGGATGGACACGGGGTCAGAGCACAGACTCATTGTCGTCTGACATGCACACTGATGGTCTCTCACCTCCCTCTATCTGTGTCTCTCTAACACACACACACACACACACACACACACACACACACACAAACACACACACACACAGTTAATGAAATATAATTAAGACTTTATAGGGGTGGAGGGAGGATAGGGAGGCTTTAAGAGGACTGGAAATGTGTTTGCTAATGTTTGTGTTGAGAGGTATGAGAGAGGAAGTGATAGGACTGTAGAAAACAGACCCTGTCTCAGTCCCCTGTAATGACAGCCAAATAACTTTTCCTATGAGGGAAAAACCCCATATAACATGTATCATGCTACTCAGCTTTTGTGCAGATTTCTTTTTTCTTTTATTAGGAACATTAAAATCACATTTAAATATAAATGTATTCATCCATTTTAAGAAGATACACTGAACTTTAGCTCAGATAATCTACATGAGATTTCTATTTAAATTTTAAGACATTACTATAAAGTATGAGTAAATTATGATTATTTATCAGAGCTAATTATTTTGCACATTACAGAGGGTGGCTGATGAGTTCATGTTAAACTGCCTGAATCTTATAAATAAGCATAACTTCAAATTGAAGAATTTTACCTTCAAAATTAATTATTAATTTGATGATAAAAATATGTTCCTACTTACAGTCAGATTATGAAAATTACTTTTAAAGGGACTTCAAGAGTATATTCAACCTGATGTACACAGTGAATTCCAGGATAGCCAGAGCTATATTTAGAGAGAGACCCTGCCTTAAAACAAAAAAGTGAAAAGAAAAGACAAAAGAAAAAAGAATATATTCAACTTTGCTACTATTTATCTGTTATGTAATATAACAAAAGTCTTACTTTAAATTTTGTATGCCATTACGCTGTTTAGTAATATATTCCATAATGTCCCCTCCTCAAATGAGGCTTATTTATAAAATTTAGGTATTTAACATGGCACTTAAAATGTAAGCATCATAAATGTAATTCATAACTATAGTGTGAGCAGCTAAATATACCTGTATGAATCTATAAAATCCTGCTTTGAAATGTGCAAGCAGACTGAAATAGAAGAGAAATTGTTCTGTCCATTCACGACACAGCAACACTACACAGAATGTAAGGCATGTAGTCCACTGTAAGGATTCTGTGCCATGTCAGGAAAATGAGGTGCTCAACCCTCCACCGATCAGAATTCAGCAGGACATTTCCATCATCTGTTCTGTCTTTATTCCGTCATTATTCATCTAAATGAAAGTGTAGTGAGTTTAGTGGAAACTATCTGTTCTTGTGAACCCCAGGACTGAACAGGCTCTTCACTACTTTTGAGTGTTATAAAGTGCTCAGGTTTTCAGGGGTTCTAGCCATGTGATAAAACAGGGCTTCTGGTTTAGCCTGAGATCTATACTATGAACTGTTGGATTGTTTTTTTAACTTCATAAGTCACTAAATTTCCACTGTGCACTGATCTACCATGCAGGCAGACTAGGAATCTTCCTGGTAGCTTAGGGACTCTCCTGTTAACTAGACATACACAAAGAAAGGCAGGTGCTTTGTCCGATTTTGAGATTGCAGAGATCTCCCTCTGAGGCTTTTCACAGATCACAGATGTTCATCATTCATGGTCTGGTCTCTTCCTCCCTCACCCTGGAGCTACTGAAGACAGCCATTCACTGTTACTCCTGGAGCTAGGTGTCCTTGTGACTAATCTCTGTGACTCACTGAGAAGTGACCCTGGGATGAGAGCAGGCTCTCTCTGCTCAAAGGAACTTGGTGTGTTTTTTACGGGCCCTCGGTCTGGCTGATGAGGCTGAAGATAAACAGCTGTCCCCAGAGGGTCAGGGCAACAGGCTGAAAAGGCTGAGGAGAGACTAGCAAACAGACAAGCCTCTGCTTCTTCCTGTGTTTAAACCATTATAAATTTAGGTTTCTATGTTCTGGTGAAATGTAAATTTTAGCCCTGCCAGTTCTTTCTCACGATATGAATCTAACATTCCTGAATAGGTTAGACTGTAATAATCCTTAGTTTTAAAAGATTTTAAAGGCTCATACACAATTTATATTAAAATTGATATTCTGTTGTTAATTAATTATACTTGTCTCCCTCCATCTTTCATTAGCTATTTTGTATTGACTTCTACTCTTTGTGTTTGTAGTCATTTTTGCTAAAGGCCTGTATCCTGGAACAAGTTGCTGTTAAATTATACACCATGATTTTATGTCATTATCATAGATCTGCTTTATAAACATTTCAATTAAAGGTATTATTTAACATTTTATTAATTTTGCTTTTTTATCTTATTGAATAATTTGAATGTTCCATCTAATATTTTTGTCTTTGCTTTTAAAACGACATCCAGAAAGCAATCCAACTGATAGCCTTGCTTGGATAGGGGACCCTGTTTTCACAGAAGTGGTCATTTAGGAAAATTCTGTTCAATGACGATTATTTCATTTTATTGAGCATTTTTAGATGAGGATACCTACAATATTTTAGCTATTCTGTAAGACAGGAATATAGTGTTATGTGTTGCTAAGTGCCAGGTGTCTAATACAGTTTGTTCTATAGCAGATATTTAAAGAGACACAACTCATTTCTATAGAAAATTACACCACTTCTCTCTTCTGTGCTGATTTATTCCTGCCTGGACCTCTCACCATCACTGTCTCCCCTTCTTGGCTTGCATCCTGGCCAGTGGTCCAGAGCTGCCCTGTCCTCCTAAGGAGAAGTTGCTAGGGTGCTGCCACTTCCGCTGTCACATGGCTTTGTGTGGAGGAGTCCCTTACATACAGCAGAGCAGGAGAAATGGACTCTGTGTGGATCTGCATGAAGATGCTTGAGTGTGTATCCTGACAAGATTACCAGAAGAGGATTCTCAGTGAAATTTGAGTTACAGGCAAACAATAAATAACCTTTTACCGTAGGTATTTTAAGTATGGTACATGTATTACATGGCCTGTTTATTTTCCTAATACAGCAGGCCAAATCAAGGGTAGACCCTGACTGAGGAGACACAACATAAAATTGCTCTAGTAGATCTATTCTCCATTTGTTTCCTCCAGATGGAATGTTCCAAAATGCAGTTCGGCAGACCTTCATGGCAATACCCTATAAAACCAAGCAATTAACTATACCTGTCCAAAGCCAGGTTTAGCAACACCTACTTGTTTTCCTTTCCCCTTCCCAGGAATAACAGTCCCAGGTAAAGTGATGCCTGCTGCGTGTTTATGGAAGGCTAAGGAAACAGGAAAGCACAAGTAGAGTTGTTGACTGGCAAATGAAGTATGAAATAAAATGATCTTTGCAGTTGTAGGCATAAGACATTGCAAGCTCAAAATCCAGATTGTGTTGAGAGGCTCGATGACAGATTCATACTGAACAAGTGTATAGAAGTAGATATTAAAGTAGCATCGCAATTAACAGACACTGGAAATTATCAGTGTTCTACAGGTGAGAATACCAGTCTGGCTTTAACTAAACATAGTGTGTTCTTCAGTCTGTTCATAAGAGTTCTTTTTTGTTTGTTTGTTTTTTTGGGGTTTTTTTGGTTTTTTTCAAGACAGGGTTTCTCTGTATAGCCCTGGCTGTCCTGGAACTCACTCTGTAGACCAGGCTGGCCTCGAACTCAAAAATCTGCCTGCCTCTGCCTCCCAAGTGCTGGGATTAAAGGCATGCGCCACCACCGCCTGGCTCATAAGAGTTCTTATTTTAACTTAAAAGATGGTGAGATTTATTATGGACTGAATTGTATCTTCCAAAACTTGTATGGTGAAGTCCTAACCCCCAACCACCTCAAAAAATGACTGTATTTGGAGACTGGCCTTTAAAGAGATCACTGGGGTAAGAGCAAATGGGTGGGTCTTAGTCCAACATGATTGACATCCTTTTGAGTAGAAAACAGACATGGACAGAAGGAAAGCCACATTAAGAAAAGGGAAGAAAATAGCAAGCCAAGAAAAAATTCTACACAAAGTCTTGGTCTTGATTTTCCTGCCTCCAGGGCTGTTAGAAAATCTTTGTTTTTAAGCTACCTGATCCATAGCATTTGTTACTGCAGACTTCAATAATAAATGCAAGGACTATGGAATCAAAACAA